TTATTAAATTCATCTATATTTAGCTGTATTGAACTACTTAGGCCCTTTATTTCAGGGCATAACCACTTGAATATGTTTTCTGGTTTTTCTTATATCAACTTATAAGCATTCTTTTTTATATTTTGCTCAAAGTACCATTCGTTTCTGATTTTTTAGAACTTGCTAGAATTTAGGGTGTATTCCGTTGCTTACCTTGGTTAGTTCCAGTATGTTCTGTTTCTATCGGTTTCCTGAAAGTTTTCTTATTACGGAACACGGTTCCTGAAAAATTCGGTTATAACTGTCACCAAACAAACCAGCGCGAGAAGGGTTTTAATCCAGTAATATTACGATTTAAACCCGACAAAATTCAGAAAGTTTTGAAAATTGGTAGGTATGTTGGGGATAGCATGAGGATTACTAAACCGAAAAGTTTAGTGTGCGTCATCCTCCAGAACATCGTTCCTACCCCCATTTTGAGGTTTTTTAGATAATCTCGGCAACGGTGCAATTGTCGACAAAAATACCTATATAGAAAATTGTTCTTCATAAAATTCTCTATCAAAAAGATAATTACACATTTTTTCTAAAGTTAATAATAAATTGGCAAACAGGGCGCAAATATAAAGGTTGGTTATGACTAGCACTATCTGCAGTTCAATCTAATTTAAAGTTTAGTGTTTAACGCTAACTAAAAGCGGTAACCACTAAATTATACTTAGAATTTTAATATACGTTCTGCTCTCACACTCCTCTACCCCTATAAAAAGGGTGATTTCCACATCACCCTAGAGGTAAAGTATTTGATGCGTTTTTTTTAAAGTGGTATCCCCTGTAGGCCTAATCCACTAATTATCAAATGTTAATTAGTAATCTTCGTGATCTTCCACAGGTTCAACATTCAAGCATGACTGTCCATGGCAATGATAACACATTGTAGAGCAACGCAAGCCTGCTCTTCTGCAGCTACATCTGTATTCGCACCCTAATTTGAATGAACATGAAATAAGTGTTAAAACAGATGCGTGGGTTAGGTTAGGTTAGGCTCTTTGTTTGTCATTGTTGCGGTTAATGTACCGCCAACTTTTTTCCACCCCCAGTCGGTAGGTTCGAGCATAACTCCTCTCCATGTTTAAATTTGGTGAAAAACCCGATACGAGTGTTGCCGAGCTGCAGCTCAAGTTGGTGGTAGTTTTGACAATGTTGTCGGCTTTACCAACAAGTTTGTTGAAGTACATAAATCGGTATTCATCTAGACTGCTTTCCGCTGAGGTACAGTTTGTATAAAGCTAAAATAAATTGCTCTCCTACGTTTGCAATTTCTTCATGAGTAGATTTCTCATTACTGAAAGTTTGCACAATATGTTGTAAATAACTTCTTTTAGCGAATACATTGATTGCATTAAACTTTACTTTGTTTTTGCAATTTTTTAAAAAAGTTGCGGATTGTAAATCTTGAGAAGTGTAAATCCTTTTCCAGTATTACCCTGTTTACCCTGTTTTTCTTTTAAAAATTTGATATTTTTGTCAGAGGGAGAAAGTGCAATAAGAAGAACTATCAGGTCAATATCTTGCCCTACTATAACAGTTGTATCGCAATTATTAGATCTTTCTATAGCAGTTTGAATTATTAATAAATCGGCGTCATCCGCAGCAACAAATACTTCTATACCTTCTTTCCTAAATTTATTTACTAGTTCTGTGATTAAACGTTCTTTGTTAAACAAATTACTTAGGAAGTTCTGCTGAGTTTCAGAGACAACAGTATTCTCGTCAAACATAATTTGAGGACAGCTTCTTTGAAGTAGCCGCCTCTGTCGTTCTATACTCTTCGTGCTGTTTGCATTTTCCATATAACCATCGAACACGACAGTTACTCTATTCCCATAATGTTTTTAATGTAACTAACGTAGGCGTTGTAAACAATGTTAAATGTCCCTTTTTTGGGCTATATTATGCGGCGAAGCAAATATCCTCCATCAATGACATACTCGCTGTTTCAAAAACATGGTCTCGTTCTGGCACTTTTGTAGCATTTTATTTAAAATTCACACAATTTAAATAAATGTACAGAATTATTTTATTTAAACAATTCAAGTTTGAGTCCTCGCACCGAGATGGCATTCAAATATTGTTATTATCTTTTATTTTTTTACAAGTTTATTTCTGGATAGTTATTTCAGCCGGTCGAAGTTGTTCGTCACTTTATTTCTGACGGTATAGGTATATACCTCGTGCCTACCTTTATCGCTATATTGGTGGTTGAAGCTGAACCCGATAGAATTATCGGCGTTTTTTTGGCATTTTTGAAATTTGTGTGGGAAAACCCTCTATTTTATGGTACGCATTTCTGGTGCCATTTTGTTTATTGTATCTGACATTTGGGCCACGTTTGTCCCTACAATATACACGTTGAATAACGGAAGAATCTCCTGAATATACAGCATTTTCCGATCCTGTCTGTGTGGAGACGTTATAATAACGATCCAGTTCCAGCAGTTCACCACAACCAGCTTGTGACCAGAACGGATAAAAAGGCCAGATCATTTCTTTTTATATAATTTAAGTTCACTTTAATGCTTCAAGCCCTTCAGGCATATTAGATATTTTATTACTTTAGAGTCACTTTGAAATATTTTATTCATGTTATGCATATTTCTGATATCTACGTAGTACGGTTTTTTTAATATAAAGAGTCCCTATATTTTGGTACCAAGATCGCCAGACTTTTTGCGGAATAATTAATAAAATATTAATATTCAGAAGCGTGCAGATTTAACTACCATCTTCAGTGATCTATTTTAATACATACTATTTACCAACAAACATTTTCAAACGTCAAATTATTCATAGTCTTATTTTATTCTAATTAACATTTAATTATTAATTATACTTAGTTGTTAGTTTATCTCAGCGTTTCATTTGTGTAATTCCTAAAATAAATAATACCTATATTCTGAGTTGATTTCTCAGTTCTCAACTTAGAAGTTTTAGAAAGTAAATGGAAAACTGAGTGGCGCCCAGTATATTATAAAGACGTAATTATCACAATTTAATTTTCACTAGCTTACGACCCATTGCTCACCGGCGAACAGCTCCGTCGCATAGTATTAGTTGTTTTAATATTTTTTCTAAAAGAAAATTCTTATAAAAAAAAACATTCCATCATTTTTTTAAAACTTCTAATGCTACACTTTATTGACAATCTGGTATAAAGCTGCTTTATTAGTTTTCCTCATTAGGCCTTTCGCATTGAAAAGAGAAAGAGGTACTAAAGCTAATTCGAAACTAAATCACTTTTTTAACTCCAGGCTGGAATGAACGGTGCAAATAATTCTTTGAAATAGTAATGTTGAGTCAACTTGAACATCATATTGCCATTAATTTTCATTGTATTGCTCAAACTAGATATCGGCTTTACACGATTTGCACGACGCACTTTAAAACTTTTAAATAAAATCCCATCTTTAACATTAGCGACTCTAGGGTGATGTGGAAATAAGTACAAATCACCCTGTTTATAGGGGTAGAGGAGTGTGAGAGAAGAACGTATATTAAAATTCTAAGTATAATTTAGTGGTTACTGATTTTTGTTAGCGTTAAACGTTAAACTTTAAATTAGATTGAAGTGCAGATAGTGTTAGTCATAACCAACACTTATATTTGCGCCCTATTTGCCACTTTATTATTATCTTTAGAAAAAATGTGTTTGATAGAGAATTTTATGAAGAACAATTTTCTATATAGGTATTTTTGTCGAGAGTTGCACCGGTGCGGTGCCGAGATTATCTAAAAAAACTTAAAATGGGGGTAGTAACGATGTCCTGGGGGATGACGCACACTATTTAGGGGTGGGAACTTTTCAGTTTATTAATACATATGATGTCCTGATTATTTCCACCAATTTTGAAAACTTTATGAATTTTGTCGGATATATCACAATTTGAGCCATAATAATATTACTGAACTATTTTTCTGGTTTTGTTTGACAATCAATGTCGTTTATGTGACAGAAATCAAGCAAATATAATTTTAAGTTCCAGTGAAATTCTCATTTAGTTTTTAAAATTTGTAATATTTTGTATTTACATCCAAAAGGAATTTAGGTAGGCAGTAAAGGTAAATAAATTTCATTAACTAAATACCGTATGATCGAATAAAAACGGCGTCCAGTTGGCTTGGAAATGACGATCGATGACATTTCCCATATAAATTTACATATAGAATGACAGCGATCTTCATTTCATAGCCATCGCTGACGCCGTTCTTATTCGATCATACGGTAGAATGACCTGAATGACTTTTTAGGACCATTTAAACTTATCATGAAGCCATTGTTTCTTAAAGTCAGGAACATTTAAAGAAAACATGAAAAACAAGACAAGTAATCGTGATTGTTTTGTAAGCAATAAAAATATAAATATTGATTAGATTTCTTTATTTATTATTGATCTGTTTAAATATTGGACCTGCAAATCTTCACTTGAGCTGTCTAACGAGTTTAAGAGTTTATTAATAAAGTACTTTTCAATATTAAACTCCATTGGAAAGGAGAAGCAAACGTAAAAGCAGAGAATAGGTACATTAAAAATGCATAAAAGATAAATTTTATAATAGAGGTTTTGAAATTTAGAAAACGTCAACATTTGACGTTTCCAGTGTTTTATCAAACCGTTCGATTAAGAATAAATCAAACCGATGTTTTACAGGAACCACTCTTTACCGTAGTTTACCGGTCTGGTTCGCCTGGTTTTGCAACGGAATACAGCTTTTAATCTATTTAAATAGTTATGCAACTAAAAATACACAGAGCAATACCTTATCACTGTATTATTTCTCTTTTAGTTTCATTATTTCTTGGAGAAAGACATTATTAAAATAAAACAATTACCTAATTTCTTGATAGATTTATTAATGAGGAATGTTTTAATTTTATAAAAAGTAGGTACTTTAATTAAATTCAATTATTATTCAATATATACATAATAGAATTACAATATAAACTATATAATATAACAACAATATATACACAATAATTATAAATATACACAATAATAAATTGACCTATTTAAGTTCAGAGGTACAATGTACAAAAAATAAGTTGAAGAAATTCTGTGGACGTTTTAAGAATTGGCCATATTCAAAATTCTATTATTCGATATATTTTTTACACTAAAATTTTTGATATTTTTTCATAATAAATAATTTCTCTTAAACATTAGAAGAATTCGGGGTTTTACAGAAGATTGTTGCAGCAAGTAGCCTGGGATTCTCGATTTTCTATTCTAGCAGTTGGATTCTGATTCCGCTCTAGGCATTCCTAATTGTTGAAAGACTTTCTCTTCAATTTGCTGAAATATAAAAATAAATTAAACAATAGTAAAATCTTTTTTTCGCAATATTTGCCTTAACATACCACATTAACCATTCCACCCATTTAATTTTATTCAAAAATTATGAGTTATTTTTTAACAAGTTTTTTTTGACAAGTTTTTTTATACCAAATCAACTTTCTTAATATTTTTTTATAAATCTACTAAGTACCTTCACCAGTAATATAATATAGGTAAATAATAATAGTGTTATTAAAAATTTAGACTACTCTTTCGAATTATTAACAAATTATATCCTTCCTTGCCCAATCCATTTTTTTAAATTATTTATTTTCGTGTTATTTTTTATATAATACTCAAAAATATTAATTATTAATATTTATGAAAACTATTAGATTAATATTCACAATTTAATTAATTACACAAACACGGAAAGATGTAAACCATAATAGTTTACGGATATATGTGGGAAGTCAATGTGCATAATTTAAAATTATTTTGAAATATACAGGATGTATCAGAACTAAGATCTACATCAAAGTTATATTTTTTCTTATGGGAACGCCCGGTATTTTATCCATCCTTGGACAAAAAATAAGGCTATAATAAAATAAAATAATAATATATATTATAAGGGTTTAGAAATGTTTAAAAGCTTTGGTTTTTTGAGATATTTAAAATTTTTTAAATATTCATGCTATAATAAAAAGTTTGTCAACACACTGCACATTACTTTTCAGAATTAATTCTTGTGGTGACTTTTAAGCCAGAATAATAAACTTTACTAAAAAATTTGATTGCCTATTTAAATGTCTACAGGGGTATTAAAAAGAAACGCTTATCAAGAAGATTCCTATTTGGATATCTTTGATCATAAACTCTTTAGACCTGCAAGCAAATTTCCTCACAAAATAAAATCACTAGTAACATATCCATTCCTTCCGCGAGCAGATACTGCTTCCTTTTTCTTGATAAATAATAAATACTTACTTGATAAACTATTGTAGTTAAATTAAATAAAAGTAAACTGTTATAAACTTAAATAAACTCCATAAACTAATGTCGATTTTGAAAATAGGTACTAACTGTCACTAAAATTCCTATGGCGACACCAATCATCTTGAATGCCATTTTATTGAAAAATCGTTTTTTTTTCAAAATGTGAGCCAGATAGGTATAGGAAACCTTAATATAGTTTGAAAGAGGATTTAAATCTCTTTCTATTTATTTTAAAAAAATAGAGGGTATTGTATTTGAAATAACGAAGAATTTATGTAAATTAAATATTTAAAATAGATCAGCAATTTTTGATAACCTTGTATACATTAAGGAAGCAATGAAATTTTTCAGTAAAATTTATTTCTCTACCTTTAACTCAGCATAAGAATTAATTCTGAAAAATTATGTACCGAGTGTTGATAACATTTTCTATTATAGCATGCATATTTAAATATCTTTGAATATCTCAAAAACCAAAGTTTTTAAACATACTTAACCCTTGGGGTATGGGTGTTAGTTCTGAAACACCTTGTACATTTCAAAATAATTTTAAATTATGTATATAAACTCCCTACATATACCCATAAAATTTTTTGTTTCTACATCTTTCCGTTTTCGTATTACCAACCGAGGCGAATGAGGTGCGCCAACCTGCATAAGTAAAATAATTTTAACAAAACTAATTCTTTCTGAATCTTGTAATTTTAAAATATGACACTATTTTTTTAATCTAAGAGGTACAATGTAAAAACATACAAAGCAACGAAACTTACTAAACAGTATAAAGATATTGGATCTTTATATTTTGCTTATTGTATCTATCTAGTATTGACTGATCCGTTTAGAACGTGGTCAGTTATTTTCAAAGCCAAATATCAATAATTATGAGTGAATTCAAGTTAATTATACTACATTTTTCTATGTTAGATATGTAATTAATAATTGTTAAATAAATGCTATCTACAAATATACTAGGTTCTAAAGCGTCTACGTTATTGTTAGTAAAGGAACCCACAAGATTCGAGGTCGAAAGCTTGGAACTTGAAACACCAGAAAATAAACTAAACCACCACCAGATACCCATGGAATCTCCAACAAATCTTACCCGTTGGATCTCTTCGTTTCTGCGGGCCCTGGCCAGCAGCTCCACCTCCGACAGATAAGCCAAACTTTCCGACTTAACGATAGCGCCCTCCAGTTCGGGGCAAAGCTTCGGCACGTTACTGTGCCGCTTTTTGCGCAGCAGCGACTTGACGTACCACAATCCTGCATTAGGAGTCTCCGCAGGTTTGGTAACTGGTGGACAGATGGCGACAGCAGGAGCGGTGGTAGTAGTAATGGGTGAAGTCGGCGGCTTAGTAGTAGTAGTAAACGTGCTGTTAGGCGACTGGTTGGGTGGGTTAGGGTTCGAAATAAGGGTCGAACAATGAATGGGAGTCTCCTCGATCGTTTTGGAGTGGTCGAGCGGGTCGCACTCGCCACTTATCCTGACTAGAGTGACCGATTTGGCCTTGGAGTGCTCGTTCGGTTGCGAGTACAACGAAATGACCGTGGTGGATTTGGCGTTGTGGACGTGGTAGGAGACTGGCGGCGGTTTGGAGGTGAGGATGTCGTTGTTGCTGCCGCTGAGCGAGGACGTGGTCGACCAGTTGGGGGTCGGACCGTGCGAGGGTGAGCTATAGCCCGACGTGCTTTGGGAATCGGGGTAGCGAACTAGAACTCGCGCGGCCTTACCGGTGTTGGGCGGAGAGTGATGATGGTGGTGGTGGTGGTGGTCTGGCAACGGGGCGATTTCCGTTAGGGGTGACGCGATTTCCGCCATGGAACCCACTGCGCTCAGCGTCTTTTCGCTTTCGCTCGGCTCGCTGTTCTTGCGCCATACGGCTAGGGGACGCGAGTTCGGCGGGTCGGAAGGCGTCTCCGCCGTATTGGGACTCTCTAAATCCTGAAACAATGCAAATAAATATTTATAATAATAATAATAACGGTTTTTATTTCCCACAAATCCTTTACTGGTTAAAAGTTTTTAACGCCTCATATAGATAAAAAAATGTTTTAGGTTAAGGTTATAATGTGCATTTTGGCATCAATTACTTTTTTATAAATTCATTTTGCCTATTGCCTCTCTTTTAGGAAAGGTATTGCGTTAAATTTTTATAGTAGGTCCCATTTCATACACCAGAAGAGATATAAATCAAAAAAAAGTTGCGCATTGCTGAACCCTACAACGTCATATTTCAAAATCCAAAAAAGTCAGATTATCTAGTTCCGAAGATATTTGGGAAAACCCGAATTTTCCCGATATTGCTTTCATATTTTTCAGATTTTATTTGAAAAGATATGACATTAAACAACCTAACACACCTCGACCATCTATAGAATAAAAGCTGCTCTTCATCATCCCAACTTAGAGAACCATTGGAGAAAACACAGAATTTAGTCCTAACGTACGCAGAAGAAGATATGACATTAGAAATTTCGCAATCCCAGTTCTATTTTTCCTGCTCTACAAGTTACATAGGTATTATTAGATTTTCAATCGGACGTTTCATTTCCGAGATACCCTACGTTGTGTCAAGGGACCAAACGTCGGGGCACAACATCGGCACTACCTCGTGCCAACACTAGTCTGCACTAGTTTGGAGAATAATTTTTGGGTCGAAACGACGTTGGATACCGACGTTGGCTAGAAGCCTAATTTAGTACAAACTGCAACGTTGTTTAAAATCCTAATTCACAGAAATACAAAACTAATATGACGTCTAAGTCGCGTTTTATCCTAAATTGGGATAATTATAGTAAATATATATGTATATTAAACTAGAGACATATGTCAGATGGCAGTGAAGGAAAACAAAACAAAAGTATTTAAGTGTGGAGGATGTTTGAAGATCATAATTATTGAAACACTTTAACCGACTCTGTAACTCGTTACCCGAGGCAAAAAAGTTAAACGCAAACGACTTTATTGGTAAATGTATTGTTTCTACTTTGAAAAATACTAATGGGCTTTAAAATTAAAGAAGTTTTAAAAATTTTCTTGAATTTTTTTTTTAGTAAAATGAGAATAATTTATTCGCAGTCGAAAAAATTGTTTCCGCGTGTTAAAAAAGCGGGTTGACCCTAAAAAGGGTCAAATATTTCAAGTTAATGTATTCAAAAAGCAGGAATTGCTATTTTAGGAACGAAACATTTTCTTATTTAACAACATGGCGGCTTTCACTTTGTTGTTTTGGAGATTAAGATGGAGTAGTTCGAGTAGTCGCATACTGGACTAATAAAGTCGCAGTTCGGCCTTAATAGGGAGTATACTAGTCGCAAGATTGCCTAATTTAGTCATCCTAGAGTCTAGCTTGTGCCGCCCTCTATAATCTAAATAAACGAGGGAGTGGATAAACATTGGTAATATATGTCGATGTATATTTAAATTTAGTTTTATATGTACCTTTCTTATGTCCCATTTTAATTAAGTTTTTTTTAATAAAAACAAAAACAGCACTGAACTGTCTGACTGAACAGAACAATGAAGTGAAAATTTAAGATTTAAGGTTATGGTTCAATACAGTTGCAAAAAGGTAGTGACTCGACGTCGTACCAACGTAAGAATAAGGAAATCTAAACAACGTTGGAATTAGTAAAACAGACGACGTTTGCATAACGTTGGAATAGGTCCTGAAACTGACGTCGGAAAACTCTATATTGTCCAACGTTGTAACTATGTTGTCCGAATCACCTAAAGATCACTTAAGCAAAAAAGGTTACAAGACAACGTTTATTTGACGTCGCAGAAGCTTCTACTTTGCTGTAGTACTAGTCCAACGTCGGCACAACGTTATAAAAACGTTTAAATTTATTTTAATACCCAAGGTAGGGAGCTAACTATTTTTTGTAACTAATCCAACGTTGAGTTTAGTGAACATGTGGTCGCAAGTCGTGAAAATGCTACTTGGGTAATCAACTTAATTTTTATAAATTCCAAAACACTGTGGTTATTTAGTGAACCCTTATTTTTCCATTTTAGATGACCACTTTTTCAAACAAAGTCCCATAAGATTGTTTCTCTTTACCTCTACCCTCCATAATAAACTTGTAGAGCAGGAAGAGTTGCACTGGATATGTAAAATTTGTATTGTCGTATCTTTCCAAATAGAGTCAAGAAAAATTTAGTTTCCAGAAATATCTTCAGAAGTAATAGGATTTTTTTAACATTTCGAAACATGATATTGTCGGATAACTAAATACGCGGTGTATACCGGGTGTTGTATCGTCGAGCGGGACATAGGAAATCCCATGTAAATTTTAATGGGGTCAATTATTGGCTTTCCTAATTATTTTAGAGAATAATTCTATTTAGGTTTATTGAAGAGCACTAAAACCCACATTCAAAAGAATAACTTTAGATATTTTTGATTAGCCCGTTTACGAGTTATCGCCGATTTCTTTTTAAATATTTCTCCTTTCTTATGGCCCTGTATTTATGGTGGGTTCATACAGCCAAATAAAATAAAATAAGAATAAAATAAAATAAAATAAGAAAGTTGGTTATATGGGATACCGTACATGCGTTCATACAGCCAAATAAAATAACAAATAAAATAAGAAGTCTTTATCTTTTAACTTCTTGTTTTATTTTATGTGTTATTTTATTTTAAACGGCTTTACGGACGCTTAATTCTAACCTACAAATATTTTCAGTTTGGATTTAATTTATTTTATAATTTCACATAAGTAAAATATATAATATAGTAGGCAACGAACAAATAAATATACTATAAATGGTAAAATTACTATAAACAATCGTAAAAGTTAACTTTTATCCAGCCTCATCGTACTGCGCATGAGCAAATATATATTTCTTATTTTATTTTATTTGACTGTATGAACGCACACAAATAAGAATTCCTTATTTCTTATTTTATTTTATTCTTATTTTATTTTATTTGGCTGTATGAACCCACCATTACTTATGAGCACCAGTCAAGGTAAAAGGTAACTGTCAAATGAAGTTGGCATTTAATAGTACTTAAATTAATAAGTTATTGAATATTGTAATAATACTATAATTAACCTTGTAATTGATTACTTTATTTTACTTTAATTCATATTAATTTGTATTTATAAATATATCTTTAAGATTTCCGATGTAGGAAAGAGTTTTCAATAATAATAAAGCACTAAATAGGTAAATTTCTGAAATGACAACTTCATTTGACAGTTATCTTTTACCTTGACTGGTCACTGCCGTTCTTTAAAAGATCAGCCTGGGGGCGGACTTTTGTTTACTTCATCAGCTGTACATACTTAGATATTGGGTTAGATTCCGTTTCATATTTTGTCGGTTGATTTTTGGTTTTAACTCTATGATTTTTGGTATTATTTATTATTGTAGTGCAAAAAGCTAATTATTTTGGTGTTTAAGTGACATAAACTACTACCAGATATATGGTCACTCTCGGTTTCGCATAAAAAAATAGAAAAATTGAAAAATTACACGTTGTGTAAGTGATTTAACCTAAAAGTGCCCATACATTTTTTACTCATCGTGATTTTTGTGTGTGTTTTTTAAGACTCTAACAATTCATCAATAAAGCTTAAGTGCAGTGTGTTTTTGGTGCTATGCCACATCTTTGTTGTGTTCCTGGTGGAAAGGATAGTTATACTAGGCAGCCTAAAGTGTCCGGAAGAGCAAGAAAAGTGGGTACAAGTTATAAATCAAGAGAATTCTATTGAAAATATCTTTAATAAATTTAAAAATAATATTCTCCCATGATGGTATTAATGAAAACTGGACAATTATGTTTATTTTATTCATATTGTGGAATCTCCACTCCAAGTGTTGTTGGTTCAGCTTCGATAGATTCAAACACGTAAGTAGGTATTATGATCTAGGGAAAAATAAAGAATATGTGTATTAAAGATCATGAAAAAGATTATTTATTTTGAGTTCAAATTTTAAAAAAGATTTTTGTAAAGACAAGACTGATACAGTTTAAAAGAAGAATGTGTTTTTGTTTGATAATATATAATGTATGTCAAGTTGTCAAGCATAACATATATTTTTGTTCAGTAATTTTTAATGAATAGTGTTGATTATTTATAATACCAAATTAATATCAAATATTTAAGTGATGGCTGAATACAATATGAATAAAATAACAATAAAATTGGTATATTTGCATAATACAAAATTAAGTTTTAAGAATAAAGGTGTTACTAAAAATACTAAGAAATTCATATTTCTTTGTTTTAATTGGTCTAATGTTATTTATAATTTACGTAAGAATTATACCGTATCATCGAAAAAAATCGGCGTCTAGTTGGCTTGGAAATGAACATCGATGACATACCCTAAATAACTGTACACATAAAATAATTAACTAGAATTTTACAATCTTGGAAAATTTGATATTCTTGAACCTTGTTTCTAAATATTCTAAATTTTTTGATTTTCTTGGGATTTAGGTTCGGGAAAAACGCTGATTAAGTTTTCATTTGGTTTTTCATTATTTTTATTTGGTTAAAAAAAAACGTTTCGGCTAACATTATAGCCTTCATCAGTGTTGTGTCATATGAAAAAAATAGTGTCGAATATAGTCCAAAAAATTACATATTAAATATTCACACCACACACATAATGTTTACTGCGTACTCCATAGAGAATGTAGATAATTTTAGTGTTAAGAATAATGATTTTAAAAAATATGTGGTCATCTTTTGATAAGTTTATATTAGTTTATTAATTGCAGTAAACATTATGAGGTGTGAATTATATTGTATATGTAATTTTTGGATTATATTCGACACTATTTTTCTCATATGACACAACACTGATGAAGGCTATAGTTAGCCGAAACGTTTTTTTAAACCAAATAAAATAATGAAACCCAAATGAAAACTTAAATCAGCGTTTTTCCCCGAACCTAAAAATCCCAAGAAAATCAAAAATTTTAGAATAATTTTACTTATAAAATGCCAGCGATCTTCATTTCATACCCATCGCTGACGCCTTTTTTTAGATAATATTGTATTATTTGTAAATATAATTTTTCGAACATTGATTCTTCCAAAATATACATATAAATTTTGTGAATGCAAATAATAATACATCACTATTAGTAGATATTGAATGTTTTTTGTTAAATTAGATCGATTTTCAAACCCCAAAATTTAAAATATATTTACATTTTACCCATTATCTTATGTACCTATACATTATTTGTACATTGTAAAACATTTGCTGCATTTGTATGGTTCATAGTTTATTTGCCAAAGTATTTATTACTATAAATAGGTATATATGTTGTAGTTATTAACTTTATATTATGTATATTTTATGTAAACTATATCATTTTTAAAATACAAACCAAAAATCTGAGGAATAATTTTGTTTTCCATGTATTCTACAACATATTTATTAATCCGTTATATCTAACTAGCGTGACGTCATAAATCTCGCCCGTAGGCTGATCTTTTAATAGAAGGCACTGGACTGGTGCTCATAAGTAAATACAGGGCCATAAGAAAGGAAAAATATTGAAAAAGAAATCGGCGATAACTCGTAAACGAGCTAATCAAAAATATATAAAGTTATTCTTTAGAATGTGGGTTTTAGTGCTCTTCAATAAACCTAAATACAATTATTCTCTAAAATAATTAGGGAAGCCATTAATTGACCCCATTAAAATTTACATGGGATTTCCTATGTCTCGTCCGACGATGCAACACCCGGTATAGTTACTGGACTTATTAGAGATTCAAATTTGAAACTATAGTGAGATTAGAGGTTGGAGCCATCGATATGTAATGTATGGACAAGCTATGTAAACCATCTTTAACATATTGCAAATTAATAGTAGAAGGAATGCTTTTAAAACGATGACATGGACATGGACAATACCGGTCAGAAAATTCTTCTATAGGTATATTTTCTGTGCTCAGCAGTCCCTATTTGCGGGATGTTTAGTTTAAGAACCGACAGCGGCATTTACTTTGAACTTACTCACATACTCATTTTTGTAAGCAAGTAGCTGTGTAGCTTTTACTCTTAAAACAGATTCAGATTCGTTTGTACTTTTGACCTATAAACTTATTAAGATCAAGAATAAAGTCCTGTTTAAAAAATTGAAGTTTATTATTTTCAATTTAAAAAGAACCATCAGGTACGAAAGACATAACTTAGATACAGCCAACTGAGCCAATGAAGACGAATTGGTATTCGTTGGTAACAGGAAAGAATTCGTTCAGCACATCGAATTTTAAAGCGAACAGTAAAGAATTTCACCAAATCCAAACAAATCTTCACCCGCCTTTAGATTCATTGAAAAATTGATATTTTTTAACTTTTTAAAACACAATAACACAACAATGATATAAGTGAAGTATGTTATAGATATCTGCACTATCCAAAAATCGATAGAGCAACTTGCCTGTATTAATTGTAGAGCTGCTTCCAATTCTTTGGAGAATTCCGTATCGCTGCTCTTCGAGTTGCTTTGGCTTTCGCTGGTGCTCAATGGCGACGTGACGCTCGGTGGTTCCTTCTTGCTCACAATCGCCCTTTGAAGTTCCTTCATCAAGGACGCGTACTGCACCGGTTCCACTACCTGGGGACTAACCGCCTCCACCCTTCGCATCATACCGCCCTGGGACCCCTGGTACTGGGTCATTTCTTCCTCTTCTTGGCTCTTGCTGCTCACCGCTGTATTCAGTCTAAGGAAAAAATAAAATAATTCTCTAAGTTTTGTAATTAATTCGTAATATAAAGTTTAAATTGATTTTTTTTTGTTTCGATGGTTGTCGGAAACTATAACAGAAGACAGAAGCAGTAATATATTTTTAACAGTAGGATGACTTTTACTGACCTTGATCTGTAGATTTGTGGCTCGGTCAACTTTTCCAAGTACTCGTAGATGGGTGGATTGACGGGCGCCGGGTTGTAGTTGCTCAGGCTCACTTGACTCGAGCTGGCCGATAAGATGACCGGCGACGCTGACCTGGAGAAGCTCTTCATGTGGCAGAGCTTTCTGTCGCTGTTGCTGGTGCTGTCATCCGATGCCTCCTCGATATGCACCACCGGGTTATCAATTAGGTGCGTAACTGGACAAAAGATGGAAAACATTCTATTAGACAAATGGTATAGATCTCATATACAGGGTGTCCCAATAGTCCGTGGACATAGAACTACTACGTATTTTTAGAATCAAAGTAAGTTCAGTGTACACAATTTACCTCTATACAAAAGTGCTTCGTTTCTCCGCTAGAGGGCATCAAATTTTAAAAAATCAACATATTTTTTCAGATATTTTAAGAACATTTATTCCGATTTGAATGAGATTTTGGGTGTCTATGTTATGTTAAGCGCTCTAACATTTGGCTTTCACAAAAATAAAAAAAAAGTACGGGAATGGTGAAAACTACCCCCATCCCTACACAAATTTTAGTATAAATATTTTCCAACTCCACCGACGACAATTTTTTTTTCGTAAAATGGTCCCTCTAGTATTTACTACATTTTTTGTCTCTTGTAAAAAAACGCTACATCGCATAGTTTTTGTGAAAAATTTTTTTGGAGAATTTATTTTTCCAAAGCAGACGTACAAAATAAACAGGGAGTTACAATATTCCGCGAATATAGAACAACTACGCATTTTTTGGATCAAAACAAGTTAATTGCACATAATAATAGCTGCCGTATATAGCTCCAGTATAATAGCGTTTAACGCCTTGGGAGTAGTAAGGTACAGCTTGCCATGCTAAGGCACAGCATATAAAACAAGTTCTATATGCTGTGCTAGAGCCGTTCGGTATACAAGGAAGGTAATGTGGCTAGCAGAGTTGTTAAACTACACGTAGTAACTAATAAACTACGTTTACTATATGTCACAAGTAGTTTTTTAAATGTCGAGCAGTAAATGTGTAGTTTATGTAACTAATGTAGTTTTTTTAAATAACAGTGAAAACATAACCTATAAACTTTGTTTGTTGATCAATTTAAAGAAATAAAAAATCTATATTTTGTGAATTTGTTCCTTATTATGTGATATTTTTGTACTTATAGTAGTTAAAAATGCTTGGAAGACGTCGATGGAGACATCGACGTCTTCCAACTGGGAAGAGAGGAATTATGAAGTTGTGCCTTTAGATGTAAAAAATCATATATTCTCCTGGAGAATTTCTCCATAAGAATTTATAGTTTATTTTGTGTTCAATGTTACTTTGTATTTCGTAGAAAATACACTTTTGTTGAAAAAAAATTGTCTTTTTTTCTGATGTTGTTTAACTTATACAAATATAATATAACTTCATACTTCCATGATAAGAATTTGGCTTGATTTTTGTTTAAAGTCTAAATTGTTTATGTTATACTATATTCTTGTAGGTAGTTTTTGAAGGTAGTTTTGAAAATTTTAAAACGTAGTTAATACAAAAAACTACGCGTAGTTTTTGGCGTAGTTTTTTTGCTTCATAAACTACTTAACAACCCTGGTGGCAAGTACTACGCTTCAACCCCCTATTACCTCAGGATTGTGAATTCCAAGTACTCATTTAAGGCTGAGTCGACCTAAAAAAAAATATTTTATTAAAAATAGTCGGCTGATGAACTGCCGGCTGTAGAATTCGAACCCACAACCTTTAGATTGGTAGACGAGAGCTGTAGTACCGCTACGCCACCGGGCACCCAATTTGTGATACTAACATAAAATTCTATGTTTCGCCAACCAGATTATTAGAGCATAATAGATTTTATGCGCCTCTTTAGCTTGATGTGACAAAAAAAAAGATCAGACCACCGGAAAGTTGCCTATACCGTAGCGGCATCTAAATTGCACTTTTGAATATCTGATTTATAATTGCATTAGCGAGACACCTTGCGGTATATTTGGTAAGCTCAAGAAGACCTCCAGGAACACCTGTTTTCAAGATCTTTTTCAAGTAGCACGAATGATTGTAGAAATAATGCATATCAAAGATTATTCTTTTCAAGTAGCACGAGTATTTTTTTTTGTATTTTACTAAGAGTGAGTCCCAGGTGGGACCCTCCACTGAGGCCGCGAGGGCCTAAGTAGCACGAGTGCTTGTACAAATAATGCGTGCCAAAGATTCTTTTTAAAGATTAATACTGACCTTCCTTTACTGTAGACCCGTTTTGAAGGCCGCCGGGCCTGCCCAGTGGATTTTTGGGTGTTCCATTCTGGAGAATTCGCAGGTACGGCGCCTCATTTGCCCCGGCGGACCCATTGGAACACCCGGCGTTCTCCGCGTCGAACACCCAACTTTGTGCGTAAGCGTCGTACACTTGTGCGGGTTTGGTTGATTTAGACTGAAAAAAATACAAAACATATTATATAGCTTGTCTTCTTAATACAAAAACAGGGAGATTCTAAGTGTAAAAATGTATTAATATTATGTAAGTCCTAAATGGCTCTTGGCGTAATGAGATATTATTTGTAACTCTTTTTATGCTTTTACAAATATCTAAGGTTCCTGATTTCTTGCTGTCAAGACTCAACGGTAACTAACTGGCGAACCAACGCAGATGAATGAATAAACAAGGCATATGTTGCCCTCTACACATGTAAATAAATGATACGTAAGTGGAGACTCCAATCAAGTATGGCTAAATGAAAATATATTGCCATAGTGCGATCAATTCTCACATATGGATCCCTGGTACGGTGGCCAGCTTTGGAGAAGGCAACCAATCTTTCCAAGCTTGGAAAGGGGCAGAGGAGTGCGCCCATAGATACTTTAAACGTGTTCCGCCATCTTCTCCCATAAGGCATAACATGGTATCCTTATGCGATCCCGTAAGGCAAGCATGCTAAGGCTTTAACCTGTAATAAATAGAACAGTAAAGTAAAGATTTGAAGTTAACGTCTCCTTTTTGCTGCCAGGGCTAATCTGGACGGGGCCTACTTTGTTTACGCGGAATCCGAACAGCGGTCTTCGGCCATATCATGGTCAATGGCCTACAGACTTTGCAAGTGTCTAAATCGACCTTTACTCACGAGATATCCGATCTCATCCGGCCTCGAAGCGGCGTGAATGAGCAGTGTGTCAATAGATTTTACACTTTTGCCTTGGACAATAGCACGATACAGAGTTTCGAACCGGTCATCCGTCCATCCACTAGTATCGCCTTACGTCACTTAACTTCGGTGTTCTAATTGGAACCGGTGTTTCGACGTAGCTGGGCCGTTGCCTAATAATAAATAGAACAATCAGGCTGAGAGAAACTGGTTGTGGGACGGAGAAACCCTATGGTAGAATGTAGAATGTTTAGGAGAGGGGTTAATCATAACACGACCTTACAGATCTATTGTGTGTTCCTCTTTCTTGAGTTATAACGAGTTATAACTCATCATACAGTCTCAGGGCTTTGACAAAAGTCAGTATCTGAGACGGCTCCGCAGAGGCTAGCTCTCCATCCTCGACATCACCCGTACCACAGTTCATGGCAGGAACGGTCAACCTCAGATACGGATACCTAGAAACTCAGAGACTCTAGTTGTCACTCATACTCAGAGAATCACGACTCAAGTTGCGGGGTTTCCTATCAAAAATAAAATTAGTATTCAATCCGTTCCGAGTGTGAGAGGTTCGTTTATTTAGAGTGCTTAATTTACAATGTCTAGTTGCAGGAGTGATGATGATATAATTATTCAATATTATTATTACCGTCGCAGAAGAAGAACAGTGAGAAAATACTGGTTACATCCTTATATCGAAAGGAACAGAAGAATCCTTTCAGCTTATAATTAAATAATACTGGAAAATTTTCCACTTCGGCCACAAACTTTAAATTAAATGCTTGTTCACTCACAGCTGAGAGAAGGATACTAAGCAACTAAGCAACTGGTGCCGCGGGTCTCCGTCTGAGCGCCACCACATAATTACATATGACAATGTGATGAGAGATTTGAGTATCCCCTTGTGAGTAGTGCCTTAAGGTCATAGAAGTATTCTTGGAAGATATACCGAAAGCTATCAATGTTGGACCATCATTCCATAACTGTTGGAGACTAAAAAACTATTGCAGGAATTTGACATTGCGCTATTTACTGATGGATCTAAGATGTGTGATCTGATGTTGACGATATGATATTCCATTCTAATTAAAAAACTCTAAGTAGGTATATTTAAGAGCACTGTTTAGATTTACTTAATAATCGAGATGGTAGATTATCCTTTTATAAATATGGTGCAATTGTCAAGTAATTATAATTATTACAGAAATAAAGATGACTAAAATTGTTGAATAGGTGCTTTAAGAGAGACTAAATAAAATAAACTGGCTTGGTTTTACATGAGATCTCACAACTTTTTATAGTGGAAGAATTGTGTTGCCAGACTTGACATTTTTTTACATTCTATGTTTTTGATGAGATCTTTTATACATACTAGTTTTACAAATAACAGCAAATATCTTAAAATTTTAACGATACCAAAGCCATGAAAATAAAAAGTAAGGGATAAGGGTAAGTGTAAAATGGCACAGTAAAATAAATACTCTTTAAAAAACTCACCATGTATAAATTTAAAATATCTATAAACCCTTTTATCACTTATATCGATCGAAACATCAAATAATTTTAATAAAATGTAACAAGTAAAATAAAAACCGTTGCATCGAACAACTGAAACAAAACGACTGAAAGCCTACATATTCTGACGACCGAGTATGCATTTTCTATATTCTCTGATAACCACTGACCTAAAGGTAGTTATTTTACCTGGGTGAAAATAGCTTTCGACAACAAAGTAAAATACAGTTGTTATCACTGCACTACGTTAAGTTATATAGCGGAGAACCATATTGTACTCAGTGACCCAGCCATATTGGTTTTTGGGTTAAAGAAAAACTTGAGGAAATGATTACATGGACGCTAATGACAGCTTTATTATCAAATGAAATGTAAGATACTGGAAATTGTGTTTGCATGTAGTATAAGTTAATTAAACAAATTAACTTCCTAATGTGATTCGAAGAAAAATAGAACATTTTTGTTGTTTATTTAACAAAAAAGTAAACGTGTTTACTAATAAATGTAATGTATAAATAATATTACCTTGAAATATATTTAGCGCATATGCGGATAACAATGACAATTTTTCACACATTTAACCATTTCGTAGAAAAATAAAAGTATTGTTTTGAATTTTGAGTGTTGAAAAAAGTGAAGTATTCGATATATTTTTTTTTAAATCAATTATTTTTTAGTTAATTGCATATATTTAATAAATACCTATGTAGCGGAAAGCGGAAGTATACCGGGTGCATCTGAAAAGTGGTTCACCCCTATAACTTTTTTATTTTTTCAAATAAAAATTCGAGATTTGGTATGTTAGCATATGACATAAATTACGATTGATTGACGCTATTCAATTGTTTTCGATCACTTCCACCACTTTCACATTCCATGTTTCACCGGAAATGACTACAACTTTTGATTTTTAAATAGCACCCTCGGTATTTTGTTACTTTATTCGATACAAAATGACACTCTGAATAGAATGACATAACATATGTCAACTTTTGATATTTTTGAATATGGTTTATTTGAAATTGTAACATGCGATTCATAACGACAATTTGACTCGAACTACCAAGTGTGTGGTACCAAATTATTCGTAAAAAAATGTTTTTTCAAATATGCTAATGAGCCACCCCTGTTCCATTTGAAAAAATTGAGATACGATTAAAAATACGATTTGGGCATCTTTTAACCGGCCATAACAAGATACGAAAAACATTATACCATCAAATCTATTTTTCCAATTTTTAGATTGAAATTTAAAATACAGTTTTTTTAAAGAAAAATGTCAAAAGTTGACATATGACATGCTATTATATTCAAAGTGTCATTTTCTATTGAATAAAGTAGAAATATGTATACCGAGAGTCCCATTTAAAAATCAAAAGTTGTAGTCATTTCCGGTGAAACAGGAAGTGACCATAAACAATTGAATACGTCAATCAGTCCTAATTTATGTCACATACTAACACACCAAATCTCGTTTTTTATCTGAAAAAATAAAAAACTTATAGAGCCACTTTTGAGACGCACACGGTATGTATAGAACAATCAACAATGATTGAAATACCGTATGATCGAATAAAACGGCGTCAGCGATGGCTATGAAATGAAGATCGCTGTCATTTTATATGTAAATTTATATGGGAAATGTCATCGATCGTCATTTCATGGCCATCGCTGACGCCGGCACCGTTTTTATTCGATCATACGGTACTTGTAACATTGGGTCACAGGATTTTCGATTAGTGATTGGAACTGATGTTAGGTTTGTTCTCACAGCTGTAATGGTGCGTTTAGACCTGAGCACGCACGAGCTGAGCGTGCGCGCACGGCATTCGTTCGCGCTCTCGGCTCCGTTCAAATTAACTTATTTTTCGACGAATGAAGTGATACATTTGTGCGCGCACAGCAGAGTTGTGTTGGCGAAAATAATGGACGACCAAGAAATAGCCGAGGCTGCAGTCATTGTTATGCACAGCTTAATTATTAAAAAGAAGAAAAATCGATAACATCGTCGCTGGTGACAAACCCAAATTTTTAGAAATCGATATAATTTACTGCAACAACTTAGTGTCTGAGGAGGGCTATGATCAGTTCAAAAACTTTACAAGAATGACCAGGCCCGACTTTGAATATTTACAAAATTTAATAACACCAAAAATTACGAACAAAAGATACAAATTTTAGAATAGCAATTTCATTAATATCGATATATTCAATATTAATTTTATTTACAAGGTTTTGCCATGCGATATATTTTTTTGATTTTTTAATAATACAAAGAATGTTTAACATCCCATAATATAGGCAAATTTTCATATTTTTCAATTAATAATAACGAAGATTCATTGATCCACTCCATAATTTTAATAAAGAAAACGAAAAAAAATTACACACGCACGAACGAACGCAGATAAAACAAATTGCCGGTCCAAATTGAGCGTTCGCGCACACATAAAATCGCTTTGAGCACGAACCAAAAACCGGCACCAGACGGCTCACGATCGCGGCTGCTCGCGCACAGAGAGATTCAGAGTGAGCGTGCGCGCACAGCCGTTTACACTTGAGCATTCGCGGAGGATCAGTGCGTGCGTGCTCAAGTCTAAACGCACCATAAGATACATATTTCCAACAGATAATCATGCGCAATAGGGTAAAACGCGTTCGCACAGAAATTTTTGATTGGTTTCTAACCAACAGTACGCTGTTCAGACAGAAAATTCTGATTGTTAGCTGACAGTCAGACCTGTTTTTGGATCTTTTGCAAGTAAAGTGTCCGGCG